CTTCCCTTCTACTTTTCTTTTTACCTCTGAACTTTAAGTGATACACAGTATCGTTTACTTTTTACAGTCCTTATCTCCTGCTCTCATTGAGACAGTTACAAGTTTAATTGTTGTCGTAAGAATCAGTGTTGCTTTGATGATTAAGATGATGAAAGAAGATTGTAAATCTTACAGTAGCAACATGGAAATTGTATCTGTCTTTCAGGCAAGACCTAACATTCTCTTGGCAGTCATATAGTTCTTATTCTGCATCATGGAGAAGAGTTCCTCTAATTGGCTAAAAGCCAATGTAGCTTTTTCACTAGTGTACAGCCTGCCTATGCACCCTATAGTGTTCAAAGAAAGCCTGTAAAGGGGCTTCTGAGCAGCTACAAAGCTATTTGACATGCCATTCAAATTTGAACTTTGAGGGGGGGGATCAAAGTGTTGTGTTGAAGGGCCTGACACATGTCAGTGTGCAATTTGGTCATGGTAAGTTAGAATGTCGATCACACGTGTGTTAAAGCTCAGACTGTACCTAGTTCTTCACTGTAAGGCCAAGAGAGTCCAGATAAGGGCCAGGACTCACCAGAGTTTAGCCCTAGAGCCCAAATCCCTACCCATCTGGGGCTGATTCCACACAAGGTCTTTTTCCCCATCGTGTTCATGTTGCCACAGCAATTGTTGCTCAGTTTGCACTTGCAACAAAGATTCTGTATGGCAGAAGGTAATCTGGGTTTTTTTTGCCCTTGTTAGCCATGGTTTCCCTTTCATGCCAGATGAAGATTGCAGGCCTCCCCCCCCCCCCTGCTGTTGTCATCCTGCTGTCATGACTCTCCACTTACTTTTTAAAAAGAGTGCATCCATAGCTCTGATCATGAATAGCACAATACTGCCCCCTTTTAACAAAATGCATTTGCACAGTGCTGCTCCAGAATAACACTATACTCGAATCCTTTGGTAATGCTACCTACTGGAAGGTACTGGTGTCCTATTGTGGACATCTACATAGAAAATATTAATTAACCCCTCTACTGCTTGGTGAAGGAGCACTTCAGGAACTTTTCAAATACCTTTCATTCCAGACATCTGAAAAGATCTCATTGAGACTGTGACTTGAACAGGAATTGAGGACAATGTTGTGTTGAAACAAACAGGCACACAGAGTTGCTGAAACAGAGAAAAACCTCAGGGTGGAATTTACTTCTGTCTGGGAAAATGTTAGTTTTGGGGTTAAAAGTGTAGTGCGCAAACAGGTGACTGTTTGAAATGGTCGTTTGCATTGCAGTTGATGGTACAGTGTGTTCAATTAGTCTGAGGTATTGTAAGTTGCATTATTAATGATCAGCTGATACTGATTTGCACCTATAGTCTGCAGGACTGAGATAAACCACAAGTACTAACAGAAAACAGCTAGCTGCAAAATTACTACTATATGACTAATGCTCTTCTGTAACTATATTTTCCTTCACCATCAACATTTTCCAGTGCCTTCATCTGAATATTTTTATATGAAATAAAGTAAAACATTGACATGCAGGGAAAATACAGTTTGGTATCTGCTGGCTATGGAAAAATTTATATTACTGTTGAAAACTGATAGCTTAGATTTCCATTTATACACTTCTCTGGAATTAGGTGTTCATGATGAAAGGGGGGGGAGAACAATCGAAATGTCTTTCAGTGTGAAGAACTTTTAAGGTTCTGAGGGTAAGATGGTTTTCTTTGTGGATGAAAAGAACACATGAAGCTGCGTTATATTGAATCAGTATAAAAAAGAGGGAGCTGCACCAATACAGAGTCAAAGCAAAGAAGAAAAATGATGGTGCAATGGGATTTTTTTTAAAGGGTATATTCCACGCAAAGATAACTTTTCGTTTTGTATCCAGCTTTGTCAGGAGATCTGTAAAGCAACCTTCTGTAAGGAGATTGGGCTACCCTGTCATTGTAGAGCTGCTTACTAATTACATATGCACTTGTTCTTTGCAAGTATCATTCAAATAAAAATAATTTTCAAGAAAGTTTTCCAGAAAATTTTCTACTTCTAATGCCCCTCCCCCCCAACCCCCCCCCCCTCACTTGGCTATTAGGTTGTTGGCTATTAGGTAAAGAAGTTTCTGACAGAACATTATGGGGGGGGGGTGTCACTGCTGTTTCTATTGGCAGTATTGTGTCTTTTATCACTTACAGTTTTTCACTGCAAGTGCTGAAGCAGAGCCTAAATCACAGAAGGGGTATTTAGTGATGACTTCTACTAGCGTGGTTAGGAAGGCATGGCTAGCTTTAGCACTGCTCCATACAATATGGTAAACTGGCACATATTCCAGTCATGGGAATTGTGGCAGTGTTCTCTAGCCCAACAGTGCACACCGCTGTATAGTGTCAGTAAAATAATACATAAATAATACATCTTTTTGAAGCATAGCGTTCTTGATGGAAACATTGACTCATGCTGATGATACTATCATTGCACAGACCTGTGTGGGAATACTTAAGCAAAGCAAAAATACTGTGAGGTTCAAAATGGAGTGCTAATACAATGACTCCTAGGATTGCAGTGCCATCCTAAACAGAGGTACAATGGCTTAGAAGGATGTAACTCTGCTGAGGATGGCACCGTCTGCTACAGGCTGCTCCCACTAACACCACGCTCAATGTTAATTAGGTCCCACACGTTAACCATTTAATACGTGCAATGTTAACGGTTCACTTCCCAACCCTCAAACTGTAACCTGAGTTTCTAGATTTCTCATTTAAGGTACTCCAGTTTTTTGTTGTGGCATCAGATGTTGAGGTGACTGAAAATGTTGTGATATCAGAATTCTTCTGAGTATATGTACAACCCACTTCAAATAGATTGCATGAATTTGGTCTTATTAACTTTATTATTTTGCTCATTTAAAACATTTGTATGCTGCTCTTTGAAACAATTACAGCAGCTCACAAAATGTGAAATACAGCCAAGATATTAAAAAAAATACAAACACCTTCTAAAATAAACAAAATAAGTTGGAATTACAATCCTTTACAAAAAAATAATAACACACAGAGAAAAGGCATTCATTATTTTCTACCAGCAGGTCAGGCCTCACCTGGAGTACTGTGTCCAGTTTTGGGCACCAAATTTTAGGGAGGATGTTGACAAGCTCGAGCGTGTCCAGAAGAGGGCAACCAGGATGGCAAGGGGGTTTGAATCCAAGTCATGAGGAAAGGCTGAAAGATTTGGGTATGTTTTGCTTGGGAAAGAGAAGGCTTAGAGGGGGCATGATTGCAGTCTTCGAGTATTTGAAGGGCTGTCATGTAGAAGATGGAGCAGATCCATTCTCTCTTGCACCAGATTGCAAGACTAGATCTAATGGGTGGAAATTACAAGGGAGTCGTTACCAGCTAAATATCAGGAGAAACCTCCTAACTGTAAGAGTGGTTGAGCAGTGGAACAGTCTGCCTTGGGAGGTGGTGGATGCTCCTTCACTGGACATTTTCAAGCGGAGGCTGGACTTTCGGGTATGTTGTAGGGCTATCTTTCGGCTATGCTCCTGCAGAGTGCGGGGGGTTGGACTAGATGACCTGCAAGGTCCCTTCCAACTCTAACATTCTATGATCCAAAGCCTATGAGCTGAAGCAGTAAAAGCCCTGCTCCTCGCTGTAGGTGTGTTATTCTCTCATAAAAACAACATACAATGCAGGGAGTGCTGGTATTAACAGGTGCAAGGGCTGGTACAGGGAGAAGTGATCATTCAGACATTAAGATGCCAGGCTGTGAAGTGCTTTAAGGTCAAGACCAGTATCTTAAACTGGACTTCGCAGCACATAGTCTGTCAGTGCAGTTAACCTAACACAAGTAAAATATGATAATTTTGTGAAGGAGGAACTGAGTGGTTCATGCATGTGAACCACCTTTCTTGGTCACAATTAACTTGACACTAGATTGTACACATTGTCACTTTCATTAGATAAACACAGACAAAATTGAATACTCAATAAATGTTACCTTATGACTTATATCACAAAATGATGTTACAAACTCCTCTAGCACATCCTGCACATCCTTGGTTGAAAAGGTTTTATTGAAATGAGTGGAGCTGTCACCAGTTCAATATTTTTAGCATCCATGTGCCAAAGATAATAATGAAATTTAAATATCACAATGTATATATTATTGGCATTGAAGAAGACATTAACTTTCTCCAACCCCAAAAATTTGAAATCCAAGAGACATAATGGAGTGGTCAGTTCATCTGAGCTACATTATCTACTCTATTCATATATCACTATACAAAAGAAAGAATATTACTTAAGAACATTTTGTACCATGAGCTATGACAATCTACTTCATTTTTCTATACGTTTGCCTTGGTGTTATTTAACGGAGGGTCTGATCTTGGAAATTGTTGGTCCATGTTAACTCTTAGATTGACTTGGATGTTACAGTGAGAACTTTATATAAAAATATAACTATAAAATATAACATGAAAAGGTTGTTTTCAGAATAACAACATCTGAGATATATTAAAACATAATGAACAATAGCATTGAAAAACCATCTCATGTTGAATATGCACAGACCTCATTGCACATTTGCCAGCATGAACTAGCACATGACCAGACTTTCTCCTGGGTTTAGTAACAGTCTAGCTTTCCAGTACAGACATATTTACAAAGGCAGCTATTCTCCATTTCTGCTTCTATTACAAGGACATCCAGCATAAATAAAACTAAACAATGTTCAATAGGAAAACCTTAAAAACACTAGCAGAATTAGAATGTAGAAATACTTAAGCATTATAAAAAGATAGTGATTTTAAGACGTTAATAAAACAGCATACCTGTGGTATCACAGAACCCTTCGCATTTGGTACACATTCACAAGATCACTGTATAACTACAGCTATGAAACCACTGGAAAAATACCTAGATGGAACGAAACACCAAAGGCACACTCTATTGTAGAAAGTGGATAGATTGGAGAAGACACAAATCATTCCAGGAAAATGAGGATATTGCCTTCTTTCTGTGTGTAAGATCGTTGACAGTGCATACTTGCCCGGAGGGATACTACCAGCTGGAAATGTTCAAATATTCATTAAAAGGCTGCACCCAATCTGAGCAGTGGATGGAATCCAAAAGGGTTGTCCAGGAAGCTCTGCAGGTGGCCATCTGGGCTTCTAGGTTACCTACCATGCTGCTACTGACCTTTAGGTCTGACTTCTTATGTTTCAGAAGAAGCTGCAGTCAGAAACAAAGTGGAGTGCTGAGTATACTAAGAGAGAGAACCAAGGACTGTGTGGCTCAGATCACAGCCACAAACTCACTTTAAGCAAGCTGCTGTCTCTCAGCTTTAGTTCACCTGCAATCCAAAACGCGCCAAAGTTCCCTCTCTCTCTTTTATTTATTTATTTTTGTGCCCAGTAAAATGTGTAGTTTTAGTAGCAGTACATGCTTAGGTAGTCCTGAACCTATTCCCCAAACTCGGAAATCATAAACTGGAAGAAGAAGCCTGTATGCCCAGTGAATACACAAACAGAAGTGCTGTGAAGGACTGCACAAAGACAGAGGAAGCAGCATTGTAAGAATGGCAATGGAGTGGCACTTGTGTTGTCGTATCTTCCATCATGCAAAGGTCCGAAGTACAAATATGGTACTATGGCTGAAATTCCGATATCGTTTCAAGTGCATATACTTAGACAACTATTTTGCTATGTCATAAAACTCTCGAAAGTGGAATGAGGTTTTTATTGACAGATGATGTAATATTGTACACTGCAGCTATACTTAAGTAATCTCTACAAAATTCACACATACATATATAGTGCTTTTCCTCTTTCCTATCATATACATATGCTTAGGTTACAACTGTTTTAATCTTGGCAGTATTTACAGTAACTCTTTCCCCTCCCTCTTTCTCTTGATTCTCTGTCTCCCATTCTGAAACCACAGATACATGGGGACACATCTTGATTTTATAAGGCTTCGTGGAAACTGCCACATGTCTTGAGTTATGCTAGTATGTTTGGCCACTCAGAGAAGTGTGTAATAAATCTGGTGGGGCCTTTGGATCACCACACAGGAAAGTGGGCAGTCTGGAGGTCTACATTTCTGCCAAACAAAGCTACATTCCAACAGCTTTCTTGTCATTTATACAGATCCTGCTGAGAAGGATTTCTGAATAAACTTGGTTTATTGGGCCTCTCAAATGATAAGGGGATTGAGAATTTGATGTGTAGGTTTGCAATTGCATCAAATTGCTTTGATTGCTGAAATATTTGCCCAGAACATAGGGCCTTGATAATGTCCTTGTCGTAGAAGAGCTTGCTCCAGATGTTTTGGATTTCACCACCTGAAAAAGAAAGGGAATGTTTGTGAAATTATCCTTTTGATGCATGGGAGTAATAGAAATGGATCTTCTATTCAAATTGTATGTGTTTAAACCATGGAGTTATACTATGGACAGCTAAATTACTGCTTCTGTTTTATAGTTCAATTGTTTCTCCACTTATCTCAGGGCCATGAAAGAGACATGATGTGACAGAAACCACATGTACCGTGGAATTTATAATGAGACCCTAAGATGACCAGAAGGAGAGCAAGCAGAGCACAGTCATATCAAGGGCCTTTCCAGCTTGAGGGAAAAATTCATGCAAAAAACGAATTTCTCACTTCTCATTTCCCATGGAGGAAAGGAAATCCTTATGAAGTACACTTAGGGTACAGCAGGGTTACCTTTGAAGCTGCTTACAAAAATGGAATGCAAATGCCTTTATTTTGGGGCCACTGGAAATTGAGAGTGCCAAAATTAATTTCACAGCACTGCATATTGCTGTGCTTCAAAGCACAAAGATCTGTTGATGTTACCCCCCTTTTCACTTAGGATCCACCTAAGCATTTTTGACATTACTGCAAATTGATTTGTCTCCTCTAATTCTAAGAAGTTGCTTTCTGAAATGCTCGTAACTGATCATCTCTGAGTGCACCATCCTGCTTATCTCAGTAGGAATCATTCTGGATTGAAGTCAAACACCTGAAACCGAACAAGCCGATGCAGCTGCCTTTTCTCTTCATTGGCTTGCATCAGATTCAGACAAAGCAAACTGTTGAAATGCTTTGAAGTGGTATCACATATTCTTCATTGAGGCTCCTTTAAGAAGCACAATGTTTCCATGGAATGTTAACGACACATTTTGAGGGTGCATGCATTCTCTGGGCACAAACATATTTGAGATGGCTTAAGCACTTCAAATGGCTCCTGTGCTGATTCCTGCTTTCTTTTCAGGCAGCCACTCTGTTCTTCTCAGTTTGACCAACACTACCTCTCACTGGAATAGTGTTCAGACTCTGTAACAAATTGTGTACCATACCAAAAAAAAAATACTTTCAATGTTATGGAGTACATGTGTTCGTTCACAGTATAACATAGCAATCATGCAAATACAAAACCCAGTAAAGAGATATAACAGTAAAGTGTGGAATCTGCCAGGGCCAGCAAGGGCTAGACAAAATTGCCTTGGGGACTGGATTTAGCCCCTGGGCCACACTGGGGCTATTCTTGGTCTAGAGTCATTCAAGTGAAATTTCTTAAATCCCTTAAAGTGGGCCCTCTTTGAGAACCAACCCAAGCCCCTTGTGATCGGCAGCCAGAGTCTTGAGAGGAGAAAGTATGTATGCACGTTAAATGAACAAAGACATAATAGGAACAATTACTCTTGATGATCACAAGACTCTTAAGAGGCTAAATAGCTGCTGCATGGGTCCATTTTTTCGAGTGAGGTCACAGAATGAAGAGGTTTAAGCATTCTGACTATACACAGTTTTACCATTTGAAAGTTCTGTTATTAGACAACTTCTCTTACTCCATTTCCCCCACTTTCTAGTAGTAATAAAGACATTGCGGATGGGGGATAGTTCAGTTACAGTCAGTGAAACTGGCAGGTGTTGAAGGGTAAAAGGCCTTTCCCACTCCTGCAGTCTGGTTCTGACCTGAACTGGGGGCCTGCACAACAGCTACTAGCCACTGGGAAGGATCCAGGGAAAGATCTCAGTCTCCAAGTGTGTTGTTTGTGTGGGCCCAGAGGGGATTACACACCCATTTCCAAAATGCCCCAAATCACTGTCTGGTACTTTTCATACTGGTTGATCACACCAGTGTAGTTAAATTGCAAGTGTTTTAACTAACACATGACAACTCAGGGACTCTTTGAATTATTCACCAAAACAAGCATTAACAAATGATCACCTCATGAAAATGGCATCCACACTTCCCTTGCAAGAATTCCTTGTACCGTCCCATAGTAATAATGAAAGTGTCAACCACTTCATAGCCATATTGTTTTGCCATCTTCAAAACAGCCTGGTTTTCTTTCCACAGGTTTTGTACTTCTGCCTAAAAATTAAATACAAAGAAATCAGATTATCTTTCTCTAATTCACTGATTTACAGTTTTTGCTAAAATAAATTTATTCCTAGAGCAGTAAAAAATATGAATAAATATGTACAAAAATTAAACCAGGCAGTAAAATCCTCAAATCTTTATAGAACTCATCAGATTTTTCAATGGTGACTATTATGGTACAACCATGTCAGGGTATCCCGTTCTAATACACTGTCCAAAGTTGACTTATCATGGTTGGCGTCTAATTCTAGTATATCATCATATTCCTCCCTGCTTAGTGCATTTTTTAAGCAGTGGGTTTTTGTTTTAATTTGTATTATTGAATTTTTGTAGTTATCTGCCTTGGGAGTCACAGTGCTGTGGGAGAAAGAAGGAATAAAAACCTACCAAATAATATTTGAGGAGCTCAAACAACCAAAGCTTAAATGTATGTTACTAAGCTGAGCATATGTTCTTTCCTTGTTGACTCTCCATCTTCCTTCCTTCAATTAGTTATCTATTTGGAAGTTTATATCCCACTTTCTCCCCAATGGGCATTCCAAGTGGCTTACAATATTATTCTCCTCTTGTCCATTTTACCCTGACAACAAGCCTGTGAGGTAGGCAAAAGTGCATGGACTGAGATAATAAGGAGGAATGTTGGTGGGCAATTATAGTTCGTACAATGAGGAAAGTTGTCCACGAGGTGGGGAACGTCCCATCATGACCTCTCATCAACAACGTGATAACCAATGCTTCCATGATGGGGCAGACTGATGGGCAGCCCAGAATGTCTGAGGGAAGGCAGGGCTGGAGCTGGGGAAAGCTGCAAAGTGTGCCCAGCCTCCAGAGCAGCCGAAGCCGGCCAAAGAGTCTCCCCCCCCCCGCTCCCTTCTATGATACAGGGAAGGAGGAGTGGCTGGAAGCAGAGTAAGCTGTTTTGCTCATTCTGTGGTATCCAGCTGTGAGGAGAAGATGAGCAGCTATAGCTAAAGCCAGACCTTGAGATCTCACAGAGAGATCTCCAAATCATATGAAAAGGCACAGGCCAAGCATACCAACATTGTGTAAGTTAGAGGCAGCTGCACAGCAGACAAAATTTCAGTCTGTCAGCTAATGAAGGTTTCGTTACAGCTGGAATAAATGCTGTTTTTCAACAACAGTTTAGGATTCAGATTTAGAAACTCATTCCAGCACCCCTTTCTGGCTATGATTTAGAGCTTGTTACACAAGAGATTAATAGCTTTGTTGCCAAGTTTTGCCATTGGCACTGTCATGTTGAGGATGACCAGTAGATCCTGACATTTATCTTGTGCTGACGTCATGGAAGTATATTCCATAGATCAGCAAAATTCTTCGAGTAAAGGTACCAAATAAAAATGCTGAAAGCCTAAAAAAACATTTCCACAGTCAAAAGGTGTCTTACCGGGGACAAAGAATGCACTCCATCCACTGGCAGATGAAAGCCCATTCCCAGAGATTTTATTACTACCAGGATATTTGAGAGATTCGCTCTGTGGATAAGAATATTTTAAAATAAGCACACCTTATTGATAGATATAAAAACGACAAGCCATAAACATTTTTTAATGTTGTATTACTGCAGGAGATAAAATAACCAGGGAGCTGCCAGTTTGAATATCAAGTGAGAATTTAAAACCTCAGAGGATTTATGCCTCAGCTGTGGTTGCTCTGCTTAATTTAGGCCTTCAGCTATCTAGGTCAAGTTTAGGGTTGCCAGGCATGCATTGTTGCTGATGCCCTTCAATGGTCATCTGGTCAGTGGGTGGAAGCAGGCTGGCAAAATAAGAGGGTAATCTTCATCGCCATCATATGGTGATGAAGATTGCCAGCCCCTCTCCCAGTTTTGCCACCCTGCTTCCACCCACTGACCAGATGAGTGTTGGCAGGCATCAGCAACAATTACCAGGTGTTTGCCACCATTAGCAGGCACCTGGTAAGCCTAGTCAAGTTATATCACGGAAGAAATCTAATTGGAGCCCATTTGATGAAGGGTTTCAGGATAGCAAGTGCTAACAGCTAAAGAGCCAGAATGGACGTATAGAGGGTGAAGAGGGGGCATAGAGAGTACAGGGAGCATGGAGAGAGAGAGAGCACGTTGCTGGGTGCCCACTTTTGTATGGGGGGCTCAGGGGGAGGGCTTTGCTGGCCACCTCCCTTGAGACCACCCCTTGGTGGTCCATTCCAGAAGTCACGTCCGGGGTTGGTCAATGTTGAATTCTAACTGAACTTGTGACAGACACACCTCTAGGGTCGTTATGACTCATCGGCTAGCACCTATTGTGTTCTTTGTCTCAGGGCTGCAGAACCAGTTCCTGGAATGAATGAGGAAGGCCAAATCCTTTGTGAAGCAAAAGGTGGGAAAGAGTCTTTTGTGCCTCTCAATGCAGCAAAGGTGGGGGGGGGCCTGCCACCGTGATGAAGAAGTACTTCTTTAATGGCGTCAGGAGTCCTTAGTTTAAACAGCAATGGCAGATGGCTGTTTTAGAATGTTTCATGTGTCTAGGAGTACATCTGGAACGGGGCAACCTCGGGAACCACGGGCACATCATCTCAGGCTCTTGCTAGCGCGTGTCTGGCATCACAATCTGGTCACCTTACATCAGAGTCCCCTCTGCACATTTTACACACAGTTCATTTATGTCCATAAGGGAGCACAAAGCTCCTCGCTGGGCATCATAAACACTACTAAATTACAATGGGGGGGGGGTGGCTTGTAAACTTGACATAGCTTTAGGGGCTCACATTGTTTAATCCAGCACTGCCTCTGTCACAAGCATAATGGCAATTCTAAGGGAACTATGGGTGCGTTCAGACGGGGGATTTACAATGGTTAGGGTGCCGGTTCCAACCGGTGTACTTACGGGCGTTCACACGGCGAACATCTGCCTTCCGTCCCTAACTGTTGTAAATCCCTTTAAACCATTGCACTCTGCCACTAGGTCCCAAGTGGTGGTAAACTGAGTGCAACGGTTGAAAAAGGTGCACCCCGGCGTCTGATCGCTCTCCAAACGTTGTACAGCCACTTCCGTCGGAAGCCTGAGGCTTCCGGCTTTCCCCCGCCATTTTTTTTAAAAAAATAAGCGATATGCGCTCGGGTGAAGCTTTGCCCCGAGCGTTTGTTAAGAAAAAAAAACCCCTTACTTTAACTTCCCAGAGCAGTCCGGGACTACAGGGAGGCCAGGTTGGGCTTTAAACTTTAAAGGTAAGTCCTTACCTTTAAAGTTTAAATGTAATGGGGGGAGGGTTGAGCATGCACAAAAATCGCCATTCTCTGAATGGCTGCCTATGCGCATGCTCAAACTGTGCTTTAAAAAAAAAAAACACGCCGACGCCCACAGCGTGTGAGCGGGCGTCCACCAGAGGGATCCGCAAAATGGAGGGTAAGTGTGATCGCGTTTATGCTGGCAGAAACTAAACCGGTTCCAACCGGTGCAGTTTATGCCGGCAGAAACGCCCCGTCTGAACGCACCCAATGTGTCCTAACACCTCTAATTTTTGACTCTGACCAAAGAAATGGGAGAAGAGAGAGAAGGGGATGGAAAAGAGAAAGTGATGGTATGAGAGAAAACTGCAAGCAGGAATATTTCTTTGAGAGCTAGCAGTGAGTTTGTAGAGGTTGGGGGAAATAAGATGGAGTCTTGCTGTCAGATTGAACACAAAATAGACACTTTTAATTCTGATTATGTTAGGAAAACCCTGGGAAGAAGGGTCTGGACTCTGGAAGGTATTCATACTGCTTAATGGCAAGCACAAAAGGCCTAGTTAAAGACTCACCATTAGAGTTATTATCCCCTGCCTTCGGTAAAGCTTTCCCATTTACTTACCTCATTAAAGTTCTTGCTGCTATAAAGGATAGGCACGAACTGCATCTCTGCAGTTCATTTTGGTTCATGGCCAAACCACAAACCGAACCATGAACTGGGAGGTTGCAAAACAAACCAATTTGTAGTGGTTTGTGACCCCTGCTTTCTGCTCCCTGCTGCTCAAATGTTTTTTGTGAAAAGCAGAAACCAGGGGTTTAAATGGCATGGAGCCATTTAGACCCATGCTTTCTGCTCTTCATGAACTGCCACAAACTGCCATGAACTGCCTTAAAATTCATGGAAGTTTGTGGCGACTCTTCAGTTCACGAACTTTATGAACTATGAACCAGCCAAAATTTGTCACAAACTTAAGTTAGTGAGCCGGTTTGTGCCCATCCCTAGCTATTAACTACTTATCACTACACTTGTGGAACCCATCAGAGTTGATAATAAGAAGTGCCAGCCCTGAAGCAGCTTCAGCACTTTGTCTCAAATCTTATTTGCACTAGTTTATATTAGCTTTACTCAAGTATGGGTTGTGTGAAGCTTATGGCTTGAAAGGAGATGGAAAAGGTATCACATAGATTGGTGTTCCCATTGAGGTGGAAGTATTTTACAGTGTTATGTTTAATATCAGCCTTGAGTCCATGAGATCTCAGGCCTCCCTGGTTTATGACCCAGCAAATGGCTACTGTCATGGATTCAAAAGGCTCTGCGGGTGTCCTAGAGCATGTGTCAAGGCAACCCCTTCCCCCCCCTCCTCATTGGCCCAAGACTTTCTGTCCCTATGTCTAGACAACCCCACTCCTAACTCCTATTCCCCGCCTGAACCCCTGTGCACAGTCCTTCACCACAGTAGTCCTTTCACAGTCCAGCATTCCCAAAGTCCTAACTGTTGCCTGTCCGTCCTGGGTGCAGTCCACCCCACCAAAGGCAATGAGCTATCCAGGCTTACTCGGGAGTTGGTTTTTCCCTGCTCACTGCTGCTGCCCCAACCTCCTTCCTTGTTGCCTCTCTTCAGCTCGGCTTTCCCATTGGGGTGGACATCGGGCCTGAGGGGTGTAGCTCCATCTCCCTTATCCTGCCTTGGGCTCCCTTATTCTGTCAACTGCCTGCTGCAGCTCCCTGCTGGCCATCTCTCCAACCCAAGAGCTCTTCCTTTGGCTTCTGCCTTGCTGCACTGCCTTTCCCTGCTGACCCTACCATTCAGCTGTTCAAAATTTAAATCCTCCAGCAATCAGGTACTTTGCCACCTTCTGCCAGTGGTGCTGGCTCACTCTGGCCTTCATGTTTTCCTGCTCGCCTAGGCTGACAGTGGGCTCCAGCCACTGCTTGGGCCCCACAGGACCGTCAGCTCGACCACAGCTGGGATCAAGAAATATAGGTGGGAGGTGGAAAGTGAGCTTAAGGGATGGTAAATATTCCTCCAGTTTGTCTTGCCTCACTTATTTCCCCTCTATGAATTTTTCGCACAGTTTATGTTTCATATTTATAATCAAGCCCGTTGCTGCTAGGGCTATTGCATATGAGGTACACACAAAAAAAAATCTGTAAGGTTAAAACTTACCGCTTGAGCACCTTTTGAATAATAGTCAAGTGATTGAAATTAAGCCACTGGACACCACCAACAACTAATATAGTCTGCCCTGTATTCTCAAGTGGCCTTGATCTGAAATAGAAGAAAGTAAAAGAGAAAGCTGAAACTAATTCTGCCTCAGAACAGAGAGCAACATTTCTAACATAATAACATTATACTTTAGTCAATCATGTTGGTAATTTCTGGCCACCAAGGACTGATGTCATTTTCAATTGCATAATATGACCAAGCATAGTTTTACCTTTAGGTATGTATTAATTATTTTACTCATTTTAATGCCACAAATCTAATTAGATACATGACAACATATGCTATGCCAATAAACAGAGCACCATTCCAGCGATAGAGAATGATACATGCATTGTACAGACATGGGGGGGAGGGGCCTAGAGAATTATGAGGGGGGACCACTGTACCTTTTTCTGTTTTGCTCCCTTATCATTAATACCCAGAGAATGTTTCTGAATGACAAATTTGGACATGGAGACGGAGAAAAATCTATGTATGCTAGATTAAAAATCTTTACACAAGCATAGAATGCTGTAAGCCAAAAGGGAGTAACTAAAACATTGGGATGCAGTGTTCCTTCTTCTCTACATGATAGACCATTGACTTTGTGTGAAATCTCAGAAGAAACGCTGAATTCTCCCACTAATTCCTTCCCACTTTTGCCATTGCATTACAGAAAAGAATTAGTGAGAAACAGTGTCCTATAATGGTTAGATTGTTGAACTAGGACTAGGTAGACCTGTATTCAAATCCCTGTTTGCCATTAAATTTATTAGGTTAATTTGGGCCAATCTTCTGTGAGGATTAAATGGGGGAAGGAAGAACCATGTCTGTCACCTTAAACTGCTTGGAGGCAGTTAGGATAAAAATGCAGTAAATAAATGAACCACTGTGAAAAATGCCAAAATATTCCAGCAACAGGAGTCCTACCATACCTGTGTAGCAACTGTTCTAGTGCTTCTTCAAATGTCGGTCTTTGGGTTCCACTGATCCAAAATTGGGGATAATATGAGTAACTAATAAATGTGTTTCTATTATTTATATTATGATAAAACTTCATATCATGAGCCTTTTGCCACTCTTGAAGAGTCTCATTCACTCTTTCTATCAGGTAATACATCATCCCTCTGTTAGTTGAATCACCAATGAAAAGAACCTTTAAAGATAAAAACAGAAAGCCTTCAGTTACTGTTAAAAACCTTGCCTATTGCCAAATCCTGATGTGGTTTAATATCTATGCATGATAATTTCACTGAGACAAATTATATGCTAAATTTGGCATGCGACCTCCATGGGGAGTCTAGTCAGATGACTTCCCTATTGGAACAAGCAGAGGAGAAGGGGGAAACAAACTCAACTGGAAATGTACTGAGAATGCCTCAAAAGTTGAGCTGCAGCAAATAAAATTTGTATCAAAAGAAACATCTATATATCTAATTCTCAAGTCGCCCCCTGGTGTGCGGATACTTAAATCCGCACATCGGGGGGACCTGGGGGGGAGGGAGAGGTTTCTGCGCACATGGGGCGGTCCCCACGTGTGCACAAAAATCCTAAATCTGCAACAAAAAAAAACATCGGGGGGATGTTTAAATCCCCCCGAACGTCACAGAGCGTCCCCTGCGCATGCGCAGGGAACACTCTGCGACTGATGCTGCCGCCGCCACTTGGAAGGTGAGCAGCGAGGATGGGGGGGACTTACCTCCTCCTCCTGCTTCCTCCTCCGCCTTCTGACTTTGGAGCTTCGTTTGGGGCTCTGCCTCCCTCCCCACTCCACCCCCGCGAGTATCGCGGGTCCACCCCTTGTCTATATACTAATAGCCAAGAGGCCCCCTCTGTATGGATATCTATATCCGCACATCAGGGACACTTGGGGGGCAAAGAGATTTTCCTGCGCACTTGGGGCAGTCCCCAGGTGTGCAGAAAAATCTGAAAATGTAAAAAAAGTATACAGGAGATACTTAAATCCCAAAAAAATTACAATTGCTTGCTCTGGGCATGCACAGGGAACTCACTCACTGAGGCACGGGAACAGCTCGAGGGAAGCCGCCATGCCACTAACCATCCCGGCTGCTGCTCCAGTTGCCACAGCAACAGCTGTCCCTGTGCAAAGGACGGACTTACCCTTGGAAACTGCAGGGTGCTGTGCAAGGAAGCTCCAGGGACTTCAGGGACTTTGCCCTAACACTGCCCCCCCCTCCATTTCTTCTGTCTGTTCCCAGCCTCATTTGTTTGGAATTAGTGGCGAGGACACTGAGCGCAGCTGTGAGCCCAGCTACCCTTCGCCCTTTCCATCTATCCCCTGGTGAGGGCTCAGCCGCTGCCTCACTGGCAGCCTTCTCGCTTCCCCCAAGGCTCCGTTGTGCTGGGTCAGTCTCCCACAGCCTGGGTGCCATTTCCCAGGTATGTGTTGGGGGAGCCTTGGAGACAAGAGAAGGAAGGGGGGAAGGAAGCAGTTCTGAACAAGCCACCAAGAGAGGAAAGGGGGGGAAGCCTTGGCGAGGTTGTCCAGAGCAGCTCCAAACAAGCCACCAAGGGGGGGGGGGAGTCAGTGGGACTGGCAGCGGCAGGGGAGCCTGGAGAGAAAGTGAGTGAGTGTGTGTTATGAGATCCTCCCCCGCGCGTGCGCGAATATTGCGGGTGGGCGCTGCTTGTATTTATTATATAGTATACACGATGATGTAATTAAAAATATAGGACCTGAATATCAGGCTGCATTAAAAGTAATTGAGAATCAGTTTTACATAAACTATTATAATCCCTCATGCAAAGCTGATGATAAATACCAAATGAGCAACACCACACATGTTTCGGCCTCAAAGGCCTTCTTCAGTGTTCCATAGTACATAACATAGGTAACTATGCTCACACATAAATCACCTACTATAGTATCATTATAGTACCAGTATCAGTGGACAGCTTATGTGTGAGCATAGTTCCCATGTGACAGAACTCATGGCTTGCTTTATAAGTTAACATCAAACCACACAATATATGAGATAACACCACCTGGTCATGGTTGATATATATTGTTTATTTTTGGGGTGTGTTCTAAAAAACTATTTTATGTACTACTGACCACTGAAGAAGGCCTTTGAGGCCAAAATGTGTATGGAGGCCAAAATGTGTATGGTCGCTTGGTTTGAAATAGCAGAATACACCACGTAAGTAAAAGAAAAGAGTGGCTAAATTTAGTAGTGACATGTAGGATTCCGCAATCATACTGTAAATGTACAACAGTGAGATGGGTGGATTCAGGCGCACAGAAGCTCCTGTAGCCACTTAAATGTTTAGCACATGGAGAGTCAATCATCTATAGTTCTAGCCAAGTGGTTAAATCAACATTTACCACTCCCAGATTTATGAATGGCTTGATAAGGAAAGTAATAACACCGGATTTAACTGCATGGTCAGAGACTATTAACAGTTGTGTCTTCACGCAGTTTCAAGCACTGACGAGGTAATATTATTACTTCATAAGATTGTGTCTCCTCCATACACTCAGTAAATACAGCAGGGACTTAGCGCTTCTTGTTAAAAATACTGACCATGAAACATCACTTCACGTCTGGAAAATGTGACTCAGTTGCAAAATTACAATGGAATTCACTTGCTTAGCCAGAATCTGTTGCTATAAATTAGCTATAGTGAGAAAGTTGAAATACCCTGAACTCCAAAAATGTCAGTCCCTGTTCTAACAGGTGAATTTAAAATACTTTAGCAAATTTTATTCTTATTTTTTCCCTTTTAAAATGTAAATTACTTTTTAGAGCGATAAATAAAATGCATGTTTTGTCACCTTTCACATCTACTATAATTGTGTAATGATATAGGCCCAGTTATATAAAAAACTACTTACTATTCAAGACAAGTTTCCCATTACAATTTTATGAAAAATTGCCTTCTACAATAATTAAAGTGTTATGCTTCAGCAAAGTCACAGAACTATTATGGTAAAAGTTAATTAACCATAAAGTTATATGAGGTTTTGTCATGCAGATGTAAAACAAATCAAGCCACGTTATATTTGGGTTTCACATCTTTTTGATACAGTTAAATCCATGTCATTTCCCAAGTGGTCATCATCTAACAAGTGTAATATAACCTCCATACAGTTTCCCTTAATAAGGAGTTCAAAGACAAATTGCTACATGAAATAAACTTAGTAAAAAAAATTTCTCAGCCAGAAACCTCCCTCAGTCCCTGTAGATGACTGATTGGCTTTGATTACACACCATAAACTCAAATAGATCCACTTATAAAATGCTGAAGGAAATATATTTTCCCTTTTTCATGTCTCAGCCAATCTGGATCTGTTCTTCTACCTCAGGTGGTCCCAAGTTAGTCCCATCAGAAATAACTTTATTTAAGCACACTCTCACATGCATGAAAGTGAAAAAAGCAGTTTGGATAAAGGTGGTTACAACTATTAGTGGGAAGCAAAATGATGGTAAACTGTCCCTGCAATCCCAAACACACTCCTTGGTTCCTATAGAATTATACTTTTCATTCACCCAGAAGCCATTATCTGTTGTATGTCGTATAAACAGATGAAAAGGGTTTTGCCTTATACCTCATATTATTTGAGAATAACTTTTGCTGTATTTTAGAGCTTTTAGGTGAGTTTGCTATGTCAGAATTGAAATGATATTAATAGAAAGGGAAAGTTAGATTAAAGAATAATATTCTTCTAAAATCAAATAAATGCTGGGAAGAAATCTTTTAATGTTGTTTTCCCCTTCCTAAGGACAAAGTAAAATCTGGCAGCAAAATCAACAAAAAAGTGCACAGCTTCTGTCCGCTTTTGAATATAGAATCCTACCAATGTAAGCAAATTGATTAATTCTGTAGATTTAGTATTTTCCCCTGTTAAAATGAAATCATTTCAGTCTATACAGCTATAGTAGGGAATACCTATGTGTCAAGCAAAGAAGCAATCACAAAAAGGACTGATAAAAGATTATTTTATAGACAATATAATATTTAATTTAATAATATTTAGAATACTGCTTTCCGCTATATGCGTAAACCAGTGTTGTAGGCATCTGTTGTACATTGCCATTCAACCTGGCTGCATCAGAAGAAGAGATAGGACAATGAGATAGTTTCCCATTGGCTCAGCTAGTAATGACTACTATTTGGCTCCTCCCAGAACTTTCTGTTATAATCCTGTTATAAAATATTTTGCAATATTATTATATAGTGGGTACAAACTTTGGGTTGGGAAATTCCTAGAGACTTGGGTGTAGAGCATGGGGAGAGTGGAATTTGGGGAGGAAGCTCAGCAGAGGTGTGTTTCCTTAGAGCAGGGGTCTCCAACCCTTTAAAGCCTTTGAGCCCCTTTGGAATTCTGACATAGTGTGATGGGTAGCCACAAAATGGTTGCCACAACTTACCTTCAGTCAAACAGTGAAGATTCTTGTGCTGTGGTAGCAGCTGCTGCCAAAGCAACCTTTTAAAAATCTGCACAGCCAATCAGAGCTCCAATGGTCAATAAGAAGCCTTGCTGGGCAAAAGCCTGACCCCACCAACCGGGCAAAAGCCTGACCCCCCCTACTTTCTATAAAGACTAGGTGGGTACTAGGAAAGGTGTTGGCGGGCACCACAAGGACCATGTTGGGGACCCCTGCCAGAGACTCTGCATGCCAAAGCCGCTGTTTTCTCCAGGGAACATCTGTTTAGTCTGGAGGTCAACTGAAATTCAGGAGAACTCCAGGCTCCACCTGGAGGTTGGCAGTACACTACACAAATTTGCTTATTTTTCCTTTACCCTTCCTTTTGCATCACTTTTCTTAGACTATAAGCTTTGGTTTTAAATTGAGTCACCTTGCAGAAATATACAACTGTAATAAATATATATAGGGCACGAGTTTTTTTTGGAAAGAGAGACTGAAAGAGAAGGAACACGAGGTGTGTGCCTTTGTATTAAGTGCAGCATGCTTGTTTCAGTTGTTCATTAACTGAATAGACTTGGTCCTTAGTGTATTTTCAGTCATGGGGATAATGCAGAGCAAACATTTTCTCACGTTTTCTTACTTACTTCTGCAAACTCGTATCACCAGAAATTGTAACTCAGTCACAGACCTCAGTCAATTGTTAGACAGTCACACAGTGCCTATTAAGAAGAAATTGTGTTTCCAAGCAACCATCTTAGACTCTTCACTACCAGAAAACTCAGCCTAGTGAGGTCCCTCTGAGACCTGCACGAGAATGTGAAAGAAGAGTTGATAAGATTAGTGGGCAGAAGCATGGCCATGCATTAGGTATACAGCAAAAGAAAACAGAGTGCATGCAAAGTTTGTTTCAAGCTGTCACAGACACAGAAGTTCTTTGTATGGAACATATTACATCCAGTACCTAGATGCAACCTGGACCCATTTTATCCTGATATTAGAATGCTGTCATATGAAGGGCTGTTTACAGTGGGCAGGGCTACAGTTAAATGAAGACGAAGAAGAGATTGGATTTATACCCCGCCCTTCACTACCCAAAGGTGTCTCAGAGTGGCTTACAAACTCCTTTCCCTTCCCCTCCCCACAACAGACACCCTGTGAGGTGCAAAAAAAAATGAGACTAATTTTGGTGCAAAAATAAAAACATCACCTTAGATCCACCAGAGTTTGTCTCTGGGTAGAAGGGTATCCATTCATGGAGTGCAACCTTCTTGCCTCCTCCCTCCCACAGCAGCCTGAAATGACCCCGGAACTCTTGTTCCTTCGGGAGATGCAGGTTTAGGAAGGATTAGGAAGCGGCATTTCAGGTTGCCACAGGAGGGGGTAGATAAGAAAATTGCCCTCTGTGAGTGGATATCCTTCTGTCTATGGAAAACTCTGGTAGATCTAATGTCTAGTGAAGATATTATTTTAATACATCACTAAGACATAGCAAATATCTATATGAATATATATTCAAACAATTCCTTTAGTGCAGAAATAAACTAGTTTCCTGTAAATGCCTGTATCTTATACCAAATGTACATACCTTTTTGCTTTCTAGACACTGCTGGAGTTCCAGTTTGTTAATGACAGGGTATTGACAATTGTGGGGCTGCCATGTTATTTGTCTCCAGTCACAGGTTCTGTTGTCGGAACAACTAAGACAAGGTACAATCCATTGTCCTGGAAAACAGATCACCACCATGTTTTTTGTTTTCATTTGGATATTAATTAGTCACATGTGTACTTGTTGTTAACATGAGGAGTAAGGAGATGTTCATGGATACAGAGTATGAAGATGTCCTTCTTGGGAAAACATTTGCTTATGTGGCCAAACAGGAAAGGAGTATTTAATAACACTGGAGAATATTCCTCAGTGTAGAATACAGAAAAAAATGAAAGCACTCAAAGAACAGTTCACACATAACATATATATCACATGATGGCTGCTGCCTAAATTGATGACTTAAACTTGTGAATGAGTTGCAGATCAAGTGTCATATACAGAATGTTTGTATCAATTTACGTCACCTTAATGTTTGAGATCCAGAAACAAAGAAGATGGTTTATACCTTTTACCGAGAAGTAAATAATGACCTATCAAGTAGTAAACACAGTGCTTGAACTGAAGACACCAAGGGGTCCCAACCACCTAACTCTTGAAGGGCCTCCTCTTATATATCCAGAAAGGCCATGATTCAAGAACCACCTCCATGGCTCTCCTGCTTGGGTGCCTCCACCATTCTCAGTGTAGCTGTGTGCTTGGCTAAGGAGAGCAATCTGGTCTTTAGCTCTGCACTGCCTTGTTTACTTTGCCAGATCCTCTGTTCATCGTTGCTGTTCTGTAGCAGCCCTTAGGAGATACCTCTGCCTTGAAAGAATCTCTGTTGAATGAGCCCAGCATTGAGATGATGTTTCCATTTCTGAATAACATGACTTATGATCGTAATGAGAATAAAGGATTAAGAGGGTTATTGTTGGAGGTTTGGGGCTGGAGAGTTCTTTTTTTAAGGTTGGCAACAGGAACTAAAAACAATATTTGTGAGAATATGCTTTGTTCACTCATCTCAGTGCAGCTCAGCTGGAGTAGGTCATTACTGGTCAAGGTAGGCAACATAGTAAGAAATTAAGAAGACATAAGACTGGCGCAGTTTTATCCTAAGCACAGTTATACCCTGGCCTGACTTCAGTAGAATTAGAAGGATGTAATTCTGCTTTGGATTTCATGGTTAAACACTTTCCTGAATGCTGTGCTTATGCCCTTATAAACGTGGCTTGCAATGCCTGGAATATCCCTGCTGCTTTTCTAAGCAACTTTCTTATATTTTTGCATATTTCGTCTGGGGAGAAACTGATGGCCCAGAACATGCCAGGACTAGCTCTTCCATCCTTACAGACAACAGCTAATGCAGCTGAGAACCCATGACCCAAGGCATGGTCCTTGTCTCAAAAGAAGAGATGGAAAGAGCTTTACAACTTGCTGTTGTGCAGTGATGGGAAGCGTGGCTGTTCTACCTGCCAGCAGACCAAAGTATGTGTTGCCCAAAACAGTGGGGCCCACCTTCCACCAGTGTTGCAATATTCCTCTGACAGCCAAGAATGGACAGAGTTCTGTTGGTGTGTAGCTTATAAGGACTAGTGGGAAGGGCAAAAACGGAGGTGTCCATGAGTGAGGCACGTGCATTTCATTAAGGCTCTTTTATTTTACCTGAGGGTTCCTCAAGAGTTGCCACTATAGTAGCCAAAGGCTGAAACAAAAAAGCTGGAAAGATCCTTCCCCTTCCTATATCTGATTTTGGTTGTCTCAACCTGACACCAGGTAAGGGTAGGGCCTTCTCCATAGCATTAAAGGGTCTCTCACTAGGTACTCATCTGTCTGAGGCTTTATTTCTCATGTTTACTACTCTAGTTATTCATGGATCTTTACACAGCTGCAAGTATACTGATTTTGATGGTAGAAGTAAGAGGTGATCTAAGCTCAGTAAATGCAGTATTAAAAATAATTATACATGCCATTTGTATTTACGTTGTGAAAAAGCACACAGAATAGTTTTGACCTAATCTTGTCACATCTTAAGAATCAGGGTCATTATGATATCAGATCTTTTTTTATTTAACACAGTGTCAAAAGGTCACTTATCCCAGCCCAGGCCACACACCTTTTGTCACAGGGCTGCATCACAAAATTACAAAACCCTGGGGTGAGTAACTGTTCACACACCAGTCTGGTAGTCTGCCGCCAGTCCCTTTAACTAATCCAGTAGTCATAAGCCAAAGGGCAAAGCTTCTAACCCTCCTGGGTCTAAATCAGAAAGTCCACCCTGCGAAGTAGGCTTACAGGAGTTTCTCATAAAAGGCAAGTTACACGGGTAGGTGATCAGCCAATATAGATTGAGGACTGTGAAAGCAAATAACCCAAACGTAAATTAAAAAATATTTTTATTAAGGTACAAGGATACTTCGAACAGGAACAAAAGACTGTGAGGATAAAACAACAAAACTAGAGATTTAAAGGCTAACTAAAACTGTAATACATTGGTTCCAAGTTACAAGATATTACCCATTATTAGATGGATGTTCCAGTGATCCAAAGTGGCTCTACTCCTGAGTCATCACAGCCCAGAGCTGAATGGCCCATGTGTTATCCAAGATGGCTGAAAATGAGCAAGAAGGTGTCTACATGGCTAGGTCTCGAATAGCCACCATCAAGCTGAGGAGAGACTAAAATCTCATGTCTTTATGGGTAAAGGGACCCTCATGGTTCCAGGTCTATGAACCAATAAGGTCTCTTAGTGATGACACATAGCCAAAGAGTTAGACCAATGGCTGAACAGGCGATGTAAACAGTGGTCTGACCTGGGAGGAAGGAACAACGTCAATCTGCAGCTAGGTTTGGCCCCTTTTCCCACAGGTACAAATCATGGCCTAATTGAAAGGAATGTGGCTAATTGGAAAGTCGGTACCAGCTTCTCAACTCCCTTTCTGCAGCTGGTGTAATCAGTGCTTCACAAGGTCACCATGCCCTTTCTCAGCAAGACACTTTTGAACTCTATTTAACTCACAAGCAGGCCACATTCAAAGCCTGAACCAAACTTTGAATCAGAGCAAAATTTTAAGGGAACCAAAGTTCTTTACACACAGTGCCTGCAACAGACTTAAGAATCTCCATTCTAGTCAGAATAGAACATATTTTCAAAGATGCAGAAAATGTATCAGGCACAAACCTTGTGTGTCCCCTGCCTCACATGTTTTCAACTGTGGCTGTGAAATGGCTGACAGGTATTCAGTAGACAAAGGTTGCAACCCACAGGATTCCTCGGGATGAATCAGTGAACCACAATCCTGATTTAAAATATGAAAAGGAGGTTAATTAATATGCAGCAGTTACTCAGACACACGGGGAGTATGCTGGACAACATGGGAGGATTTAAAAGGAGAAGGGGACGGGGAAGTTGTTTCCAATCAATATTGTTGTTTCCTGGTTCCTGCTGTCCTACATCCATTTGTTTTAACTTTGGTGGCTCAGCCATCTTATTAAACGTCTTTACACGGCACAACAGCCACGGAGTAAGAGAAGGGTCTACTTGGAATGGGACTATGGTGATGGTCAGTTTTAAACCCCTTTCTCCCTTCTGCCTTTTCCCTGATTAAAGTCAAATTGCACCTAATGGTGCTGTTGCCCAGCATGTTTTTCCCTGCTGGGACAAATAACACTTCCATCAAAAAAGGACATAGAAGGGAAGAAACTCCCTCACCCCAGCTGCTGTTTAGAGAACTTTAATGAGACAGGAGAACCAGTCAGGGCTCTTTTTGTAGAAAAAGCCCAGCAGGAACTCATTAGCATAACAGGCCACACCCAACAGAAACTCATTAGCATAGTAGGCCACACCCCTGACAGCACAGCATATTAGCATTTTAGGCCACACCCCCATGCCACCAGAAATGTTGTCATCCAGCCACACCCACCTTTTGCTTCTTATTCTGTTTACCTTGTTTGTTGTCAAAACCCAGGGCTTTTTTGGTAGCAGGAACCCTTTGCATGTTAGACCATACACCCTGAATGTAGCCAATCCTAATGAGTTTCTGCTGTTGGGTGTGGCCTATTATGCTAATGAGTTCCTGCTAGGCGTGGCCAACTCAGGAGCCAGCCGGAACTCCGTTCCTGTGCGTTCCTGCCCCAAAATAGCCCTGGATCCAGTCATAGATATCCAACATATCGTCTAGTTTGGCCTTGAATCATAACCAGAACTAAATATGGTTATTCCCCGGTTTTGCAACAAAACAATTTTATGTCAAGGTCCATTCTGTGTATCCAGTCATAATGCTGTTGTGAAGGTAAATTGCCAATGGACCAAATGTATAAAACAAAGACAATCTTTCCTTTTGGTTTATAAAGTCCTTCTCAAGATGACAAAAGCAGTCAAGGCACTGGACCTGTGGAAAGGTGATATAAGATTTCCCCAAGATAAAAGGGACAATTCTATCGATTTCCTAAGCAGAACTTTAGTGTGAAGACTAATTTGTGAGGACAGGGATGAATGTAAAATTTTCACCTGTTTGAAACAGTATGCTCATGGAACAGCATAACTAAAATATTTTATGTTGCAATATAAAACTCATAAGGTTTTTGATCTACACTCTTCCAGTCAAGATTTGGCCCAGTGATATTTTATTCTCTGACTTTTCAGAATTATATGGATAAAAGAATGCTACAGTGTGATGTAGGACAGGGAACTAAACTGTTATGTTTCTGTGGAAGAGTGAGCCCATAATTCCAGCAGTGTTACTGACACCAGTAGTATCATCAAAAGCTTCTACCACGCAGCCTAACAATTTGCACAAGGCTTCACAGGAAAATTCCAAATTCCTGAACAAACTGCAACTGCTGTCAACAAAGTGCCACAAAATAATTTAACAGGGATTTTCTTCTTCATTTCTAGTGAACAGTGCAGGCATTGAAGTAATGTGCAATAATCTTTGCTTCCAAATGTATTCTGGGACAACATCATTATTAAGAGTGTATCTGTGAAGATATGCTCAATTTGCTTACAAAAAAAAATCTTTTTTAAAAAAAAGAATATCTGAGTTCCAATCTCCTGTGGAGGATAAATGCAGAAAGTATGCAGTACACAAGGGAGGACCAGTGTTTTATGATCAAAGACAGTTTTAATATTGCCTTGTAAAATGGATTGGCCAAAGGTCAGCCACACACATTTACTTTAGCTCCACATAAGATACCCAAAGGATTTTATTAACAGTGTGTGGATTCATCAAGTTCCTTAAAGGTACTTGCAGTGCTGCCATAACCCTAATGCTTTCTCCGAAGATGAAAGTTGATGAAACTTCACAGAAATATCAGGCACTCTAACGATGAGAGGCAAACAAAGGATATTTATTTCTTTGGGCCAATCATCAAGGAAACTTTAAGATGGCTAGACTGATTTAAAAAAGAATTAAGTTTAGCATACATATTTCAAATTGTAGTGAAAACAAACTGCATCAGTAAACTTGTTACTATCTGGATAGTTGCACAACATGCTCCATTTGGTTCTAAAAATGTGCATCTACGTAACTGGATTAGGTTTTATGCTTAGTTAATCATGCTGAGATTGGTTCCGAAGACTAAGCAAACAGGATGTGCCCTGTTCAGTGCCCACTCATCCCCAGTTTATCTTATAAAGCCTTGGGGTCAGGATGGATTAATGTGGAAGGCATGCAAAAAGGAAACTATCAAGTCTCAAGAACATATTCAAGTATGGTGTCTACTGGATTATGGCAACGGATTTTAGTAGGACCCTGACAAGTAATTGAAAGAACTTTGACTTAACTACATAGGAATTTAGATCCAATAAGAGTTACTCTTATTTCTGGTAGCATTTATGAAGGTCACTTAAAAACAGCTCTGGCGAAGCAAAGGGTTATCCAGGATGGTAGGGAAAAAGCAAACGAATAATTTTAGGACACCTAACATAATTGCAACTACACCTCCATAAAGGAGTGAAATAGACTGGAAGCCCAAAACACTGTTTTTTGACCTCCATAGAGTTGTTTTCAGTGATTCAAAGATGCTATCTGAACAACGTTAGCATCCTACAGGTCAATCCAAGACAAGTTCCTCAAGAAAGAATATGACAAAAAAGAATCAAGATGTGTGTGAAACAATAAAAGACTCAATGTAATGAGCTAGATTAGGGAAATATTTCAGGGAGGGGGCGGGGAATGGCTATGTGCTGCTTTTGCTCTGTTTCTTAATAATATGGCAGCAGTAAGAATAGGTGGCAGCTGCCAATATTACCTGAAGTTGCCCATACCTTCTTGATAGTGAATCTTACCCTGACATAACACAATCACTATCAAAAGAGGATTTAAAAGAACTGATAAAATCAGGAACGGTACCATTGGAAAACATTGGCATAAAGGTTCATTATGAGCACTAAAGGACATTGCTCATCAGTGCTTATTTGAGGGGGAACTAATTTATCACTAAAAACTCTAAAAAGTGCCACATTAGATAAAGCAAACTGAAGGATTAGTATGGCTATGACATTTTGTTCCTAGCCAAATAGCTACTTAATTATAATCCCATTGCTTTGCAAGTGCAGAGCGAATACATGGTCAGATGCTAACAGAGAATAGGTAATGGATAGAGCTAGAGCTGCCAAGGGTTGGGGGGTAGGATTGCCATATTCTGCTTGAGAAACTCCGATTTGGGGATGGAGCTTGGGGAAGACAGGGACCTCAGTAGGGTACAATGTCACAGAGTCCACCCTCCAAAACATCAATTTTCTACAGGGAAACGGATCTCTGTAGTTTTGAGTTGAGTTGTAATTCCAGGGGATCCCAACATCCCACCTGGAGGTTGGAATCCCTAGGATAGGCTGATGGTAGTCCACCCAATTAGAACAGCCACCTGTTGTTCTTAGACCCTCAAGTCAGAGTCTCGATGCCCAGGCAAAGAGTACTCAGTCCATCTATTTCATAGGGTCCGAAAGCTACTCATGCTGGACACTAACAATAGCTTCTAATAGAGTTGCAGATGACATAATACACCCTGCTCTCTCATATTTATAGTTTCTGAGGAACTACAAGCACTATAAGACCTGTTTAACCATAGACAATAATGGGCTTGAGAAACAGAAGTGTACAACATGAGGAGTGATAGCACCATAGTACTGCATTCAATTTTCTGAGGAAAAAAATAAGTATTATATCTAGGGATGCCAACTCTGGGTTTGGAAATTTCTGGAGACTTGGGGGTGGAGCCTCTGGAAGGCAGAATCCAGAGAACGAAGGGAGCTTAGGAGGATCGCGATGCCATACAGTCCACCATCCAAAGCTGCCATTTCCTCCAGGGAAACAGGTATCTGTCGTCTGGAGATCAGCTGTAATTCCAGTCCCCACCTGGAGGCTGGTAACCCTGATTCTACACTCAGTGTAATGGGGCCCAGGGAATATCACTCTCTGTCTCTTCAGAGTCTAGTAACCAAGGTTTACAAGCCAGCCTGGCATGCTAGTTATATACAAAGATTACAGAAATGTTATTATTGCTTCTACTTTTGAATTATGACTGTACAGCCCTATCTCATTAATCAGGGAAAGAATGAAATTACCAAGTATTTCACTACAACATCTGCAACTAATTGTATTTTTAGAACAAACCCCCCCCCCCCAATCTGCATTGGTCATGAAGTCATTTTAGTGTCTTTACTTAATCAACCTCAGTTTTTTACATAGCCCAAGTACGATGAAGAGTGATAAAAAAACAGCCTATGAAAATTATACTAATAAAATTAGTCAGAGTGAGCTCATAAAAGAGCAAAATGGTATCTCATCACAAGGAAATACATTATGAGCAGATGGATTAGCTCCACTTCATCAAAATGATTAATGTAATGCAGCAAATGAGAAGCAAATGCCGCCACCGTCAGCAAGATGGCTTCAGCTCCTTTTGGCATTCTGGTACCGCAGAGCTTCTCTGAATGAATATGTGTTCCGATCACATTTCGGATTTTTCATAATTATCTCACAAATCCTCATCCAAAGACAAGCAGAAATTCCAAAATTGTGAGGACTTTTAAACTGTACTCCTGTTTACCCCCTTTTCAAAGGGAAACAAATATCAAAATAGGTATGAGCCCCAGCACTACGAAAGGTGAGAACATGTCCATAAAGAAATAAATGAAAATTATTTAAAAGTAGTACATTTTTTGGAAGGATTCGGTATTCTTGAGTAGATGAGGTAGGTGGTAGCCTTGCTGGCATGGTCAAAGTGTTTTCCAAATATTTGCCATGGTTAAGACACTACCAATTTTCCATATTTGAACATTCTTGACAACTCATAG